AGAGGTATTCTCTGGAGTTCAACCTAGATTGCATCACATACTACATTCATTAAATTCCTAGTTCATTTGATTTGCGATTGCGACTTTGCTTATCAATACTTCACACAAAACCATGTTACAATACGAGAAAAAGAGACTAACGAGAATTGTAGAGAGTAAAACATAATTGGAAGATTTGCGATTGTCTCAAATAGCTTTATTAAATTAAGAATGTCTAGAACAACAAAAAAGATGAAGATTAAAATATTAAAGACAAAGAAGACAAAGAGTATAAACTTGAAAATTATGAAGAATTTAGATTAAATTCTTCAAATGAACAAGATGAGTACGATAAATATTGACAATTTTACCATTGAAAATACTCTTGGGCCACGAAAAAGAAATGTAAACAATGCAACTTTTACTATTAAATTGGTATATTTGTAAAAAATCTTTTATTTTCTTAACTTTAAATAAGACTAACACATGTTCTTTTTAGTCATTTAATAATTTAGTTTATATTTTTTTATGATTAATTGTTGTATTAGATTCTAAAAGAATCTTTAATGATCAATCCATACTTCTTGAAAAACAAGTGAACAAGACTCAATTTAATGTTGTACCTAATGACTCACAAGTGATCAATGTTGAACAAGCTGAGATAAATACATGTATATATAGTAGTTTGTTTTAGAAAAAGCTAAAACATTATTTTTGAAATTATGCTATTATTTTATTTTATTTATTTTAGGTAAGCAAATAATTAAAAAAATGTGAATGTACAATTAATGCAAAGCTCCAAAAGAAAAATGAACCTCAGGTGTTGTATTATGTTTTGGAGGAACAAAGTTTATTGTTAGAGGATATGCTTATTCAGGTTTTGCAAATGATCTTGATAAAAGAAAACCTATTATAAGCTATGTGTTCATATTTGTAAGAGGAATAATAAGTTGGTTATCAAAGTTACAGACTGTTGTAGTTTTGTTTACTAAAAAAGTTGAATACATGGTATCTACATGCAAGTATGCAAGGAAGCAATGTAAATTCAAAGGTTAATGGAAGAACTCGAGCACAAGTAACAGAAGATACATGTGTTTTGTGAAAATTAGAGTGCATTGCATATCGCAAGGAATCTAACATTTCATTCCAAGATGAAGTTGTACTTTTCTCTTGTGAGGTTCTCCTAGTATTATTTTCTCCTATTATTAAAAGAGTATTATTGGTCTCTCCTTGTAATTAGAGAGAAGTTGTACTTTTCTTCAGTAAAAGTTTAGTTCAATATTTCTCTCGACTCTATTTTAGTTATAAATATTTATTATATATACTCTAATACCTAACACTTCAAATGTAAAAAAACTGCATGCTTTCAACAAAGCTTGTAATATGATGGAGGAAATTGGATGTTAAGAGTTTTTCCCTTTGCCATTCTCTTTGACTTTGTTCGTATTTCATGTTGATGAGGGGAGGAAAGCAGAAAGAAGGGGTTAATGATCTTGTTTGAAAGTTAATAATTAAATATGAGAAGGGTTAAGGATTTTTTTTAAACCTCCCAAAATCCTCTTAACCTTATTTTTTTAGTTCTCACATTTTCGAGGATTTTAGTGACTCATGTAACGAGGTTTATCATTTATATTTCTAGTTATTAGATTGAATATTTAGCATGATCTAAAGTTAGAATAACAAGAAAATAAAAAATATTTTTTTTAAAATGTAAGTTTTTAGAGTGAATTTTTTTTAAAAGTAAAAAAATATAAATTTTAAAAAATTAATTTTTAGAGAGAGGAAAATTTTATTTTTGTATTTTTTGAAAAAAAAAGACAAAAAAATATGAATAAAAAATATAAAAGGATAATAATATTATTTACATGTTAAACCGTCCATTATCATTTCCTCTTTATTAAACATTTAAACAAACAAGAGAGGAGTTTAACTCTCCTTCTTCCTTAAAACATTTTCTTTCTTCCCCCCTCTAAACTCCCAAATAATAAGATTTTTGGAAAGAATCATTACTAGGATCTTATTAAGGATTTCTTAAACTCTTGTGACAATTTTACACCAAGCTTATCATCCTTTTATTTTCTTCTTTCTTCATTAACATTATTTGTTGGTTCTCATCAAAGGTTAGTAAGAAAACTTCTTCAGTTCCTAGACACTCATCAAAACAAGATTGTTCATTTTGTTATTCTTTAATAAATAGGTTATCTCAATTGAAGTTGTACTATGAGTTGATTTCAATTTATCTCATTGAATTTATTTAATATTTCTTTATTTGCTTTGGTTATTTCTTTATGATTGTTTATCTTGTTATTCTTTCCTCTTTCAATTTAATCATTTTTTTGATTTATTTAAAAAAAATACATTGATAAAGAACCCATTAAAAGAATCTAAAATTTAATCTTAGATTACTCTTAAATTTATTTATTTGCTGGAAAAATCCACAATAAATAAATTGGATGCTTGGTGAGGCAATTTAAGTGTTTAGTGTGTCATTTTAAAGCATGTTATTACGTAGTGTACGTCATGTGTTCATGACTAATAATAACACGAGTAAAATTAATAATGCTGGTAATTCAAAGAATTCAAATGAGATTAATTATTCAAATCTAAAGAACAACAATGTGGTATAAATAGTTCTACCATAGATGTAGTGCCAATGGGGACACTAGTGACACCTTCATCACCAATAGTAAACCAATTAATGGTTATGTTGCCTAATCCTGATGTAGGTTGTAACACCCTAATATTTATTTAAATAATTTTTTTATATATATAGAAATATCATCAATTAATTGAGTAAAATAAGTAAAAAATCAATAAGTATATAAGAAACTTTTGTTTATGTAAGTTTTGAATTACTGAAATTGGATAAGATTTTAAAACTTCAATGCATACACATTTTTAAAAAAAAACTTAAATGTTATATTAACAATTAGTTATTAAATATTATACATATATTTTCTAATTCCTTCACAGTAAATTTATTAAAATGCTTTAACTCCAAATTAGTCACTTTTCTCAATATAATTACATAGAGTAAATAACTTTGAATAGGAACTTAATCAATAAGATTATTACAGTCCTCCCAAATAAACTAAAATTTTGTAGAATAGTTCTCTTCCTACATTCCTTGCAAGTATGACCCTATAACAGATCGACCTTCTTTACCTGAAAAATAGTTGTAAGAGTGAGCATCCCTTACCCACTAAATTTTAATTTATAAAAATAATGGAATCAACGCAGAAAGTATTTTCAAAAGCTACATATAATATGTTAGGAACATTCCATTTCTAACAAATTCATTCATATACATTATTTATCAATCAATCAATTAACATCCAAAGTACATGCATTCTTACTTCTTCTAATTTACCCATGTGATATAATTTCTTTTGTTATTTAAAGATGATTCCAGATTTTCCTGCGACACATCGCCTGAGCGAGCTCTATCTCGCTTGGACGAGCTGCTCCCCGTCTAGGTGAGCTCCCTTCTCGTCGAAGCGAGAGGACAATTGAAGAAATTCTATCCTTTCTCGCTTGAGCGAGAATGCTCCAGAACGCTCTGTCTAGAAAATATTTGTCTTGTTTGAGCGAAAAGTCCTACACAAAAACTCTTATTTTACCCAAAAAACAAGGATATAAAAATGAGGGTGTTACATAGGTCTAGTCAGAGACCTAAGTAAGATCCTCTATATGGTTTGCCTCCAAGATTTGTCCTACCAATTTTAGGAACTCATTATATGACATATGTCAATTCTTCTATAACAACCACGTCTCCTAGAAACCAAATAATTTTACTTAGAATAAGCTTTAATAATGGAACACAAGGACTCTAAGTATCCACTAACTATTTTACAAATGTTGTCTTGCAATATTTGAGACAACAAATGAATGAAACTAACCATATGATGGTCAATTTGTTAACACAATAAATGACTACAATAATAAATCAAATACTAAAAACTAACAATACTAATTATTAGACATTGGCAACACAAATGAGATGAATTGTTGACGTTTTTGGGCACTGCAAGATCATGTAGGCCAAGAGCCAAATCCTACCCCTAACCAAGATCAAAATGGTCCAATACAAGGCCAAAACAGTTCAAGGCCAGTAGAAAACCTCCATTTTAAGCAACCTATAATTATTTGAAATCAAAATATTGACTAAATGTTAGAAAGATTTTGATAAAATAATGTAGGAGACATCACTATCAAAATATTGTTAATATTATAAAACAGGTTCTAAATCAACATATTTTTAATGTTGGTTATATGAACGGACCTTATTTTGTTTCAACAATTTTTAAAATAGTTTTATAAGAAGCATTACCTCAGGTGTGGAAGGTTCACAAATTCTCCAAATTTGTTGGAGAATCCACTTTTAAGCACATTGAGATATGTTAATAATAAAGATTTAAAAATAAAATTGTTTGAAATTAAATTTATCACGTTACTCCTAAATTTGATATATAATTAGAATCATTTAGAAAAAAAAAATTTTACAAGTAATTCTTTTATAATAAAATTAAGGTTGATCTTGTAGACTTAGTTAATATTAAAAGAATATGAGTAATGAGTTTAACTCAAACTTCAAAATAAATTAATAACATGATTGTTAGTGATATAAATTACTCAAAATAGTTGATCAACCAATAATTAGAGAAATATATATATATATATAATTAAAAATTAATCAATTAATAATGATGAATTAAGTATTTATTTTCTATAAATAGGATAAAATATATCATTTTATGAATAATAAATAATATAAATCATTTTAAAAAAATTTAAAATTTACAAAACATTAAAATTAAAAAATGTAGACAATAACATTACATTGATAAAAATTAAAAACGTATTTTACTAATTTTATCCGATAGTCCAAAAAATTTAAATTAAATTTTGCTTAAAAAGGTACGAGAAAAAAACAAACGGAAAAATGTATGGTCATCACGTGTTAAAATTTACTGCTTCCCCTGTAGTTTTATTTAGCTTCCTACTATTTATAAGCTGTTATTTATACACTGTTGAGCTGTTTGGTCTCTCTTCAAACAACAGAACCGAACATCCTGAATCAAAGCTAGAGAAATTAGGGTTTTGCATCGTAGAGATGGCATTGTGCAACCGCGTCAGATCGGGGATTTCTCTCTTCTACAAATTAGGGTTTGTCAGTACACAGAGATCCACTCTCAATCGATCCCTCGCTGCCCCTTCCATTCTGGTAAGAAAATAGCAAACCAATCTGAATATATTTTTCCTCTGATTATTGCTAAATCCATGTTCGAGAACCTCCCCCATTGTTAAATTTTGAAATTTGTAATTTTTTTTGGAAAAAAAATTCCCCCTTTTTACGAGTGTGTGACCATAACCCCCTTTTATGCTAAATTCCCCCTTGTGTCTTTCGATAACTTACGCTGTGTTCTCTGTCTGAGATTCAGAAGTGAGTGAGGCAAAGTTAACTCAGATCATTGCATTTTCGTGTTTCAGCATATCTTGTTAGTGGCTGCATTTATTTAATTATTTATTTTTGGAATATTGTATCTTATGTTTGTGCAGGCCTCCAGAAATTATGCTAATGTGCCAGGGCTAAAGGATGACAAAGTTAAGGTAATCGGATATATTGGTCTTGAATTGTGCTTTCTTGTCTGTGGTTAATGGAAGGAAGAAAAGATTTGAAAAAACAGTGTACATTTGATTAGTTAAAACTGCTAGGACCAAATTGGATATATTTTTTATTAAATAGTTTGTTAAGTGGAGTGTTTCTATTATTATTTCATCATATAGAGTATTTCATTTGGGTCTGATCGAATGGTTGTAAAATGTTTTCCCCCCTGTTTTTGTCTGTTGTTATGGATAGATTGATCTGTTTTTATCCCTTGTCTTGTGCTTCTTTGTTTCTTTTTAGGTCCCTCTGGCTTTGTTTGGAGGTTCAGGAAACTATGCCTCTGCTTTGTATATTGCAGCGGTGAAGGCTAAAGCAGTGGACAGGGTTGAGTCTGAGATTCTGCAATTTGTTGAGGCAATAAAGAATAGTGATAAATTTTCACAGTTTATAAGGGACTTGTCTGTGGCTAAGGATGTTAGAGTAAAAGTCATCCAGGATGTTTGTGGTGAAGCTAAGTTTGCAGAAGTTACAAAGAACTTCCTTGGTATGATAAGCTTCCAATTATTATATTATAATTCTTAAAAGTTATTTTCACATTTTCATTTCTATGATAAATTACCGATATCCACGATAGATTAATATTCCTTTACCAAATAATTTTTCCATTCTAATGTGTATTGGTTAATTTGGTTTAGATGGAACACTGAAGTTTTCAAGGCTGTATCTTTGACCCTATATATAATGGATTGAGTGAGTTTTTTTATCATGCAGAGGGACTATATAACTTTGATGTATTTTGAGCCTTGTTGTCTTTGGATCTGTGTTCTATTAGTTTCTCTAATTTGAAACATATAGAGTATTAGGGCCCAGAATGAGTCATTGGGTGCAAGAGGGGAAATGGTAAAATATATAGAGTGGTATTAGGATCCTGGGATTTGTAATGGAAAATAAAGGAAATTGTATTGATTAAATGGAAGGATTACAGAGTAAATATTCTGGTATGCATAAACCCTAACCAACATGAATAATGTAAGAAGCAAAGGATTTTTTCTCATAAACTTTTCACATTCACCTATTGTACTTCCTGTTTAACTCTTCTACTTGAATTTTCTCTTTTGTTCATGTATATGTCTGTATTTGGACCTGTTATGTGAGTGTGAGCTAAGGAACTTTTGCTCTTGTACTGTTACATTTATAAGTATGACCAATTCTCATGTTACTCTAGTTCCTACCTCAGCTTAAAGACTCAAATTAATTTACACCAATGGTCTGATAAAGTTTATCTGTGATCTTACTAACTTCTGAATTCTGGAAATTTCATTCCTCAAATTTCCATTTTCATGTTGATAATTGCTAAATGTTTGTTAGTTCCTGTCATCTTCAACTTACTGTGTTCATAGACCTTATCTGTAAAAATCACCTAGATTACTTTGTGTGAATTATAAATAAAATTACACCTTTGCAATAATTACATAAAAAGGAAAAAAAGGGGCTGAAATTATGGTGTAGCAGAAAGGAATCTAGCAGCATACCCTGGGAGATTAGTTTGTCTGAATTATAAATAAAATTACACCTTTGCAATAATTACATAAAAAGGAAAAAAAGGGGCTGAAATTATGGTGTAGCAGAAAGGAATCTAGCAGCATACCCTGGGAGATTAGTCTCTCACTGGGTGTGAGATTACTCTGGGAAATCTAAAAGTAGGAATCTTGTGGAGTAATCATTTATTACTTTTCTTGGTCATAGGAATCGATAGATGTGTATATCAGTGGGTCATATTGTTCACAAATATGGCAATTACCGATTACTTGTTTTTTTTTTTTTACTGCCCCCCTAAAGTATGATGACATTGTTTAATAATAATGTTAGTCTTCATGGTGACATGCCATGGTACTTGGATATTTCAAATTTTTGGTTGTATTGGAAGACTGGTAGTTATTTGGCTTCCCCTTTTGTAACACTTAAAACAATTTCATTTATCTAAAACTACTTAGATGCTACATTATTTTCCAGTTTTCCTGACACAGTTTCATTGATTTATTTTTTGTTGTGAAGTTATTGTTGCTGAGAATGGAAGGCTTAAACACATAGACTACATTGCGAAGAGGTTTGCAGAGCTGGCAATGGCATACAAGGGAGAAGTCAAAGCGACTGTGACTACTGTTGTTGTAAGTATGACTGGAATTGATAATAACTACTGGGAATTAATAATTACTATTAGGAGCAGTCATGTATTATTAAATATAACTGTAGTATTAATTGTCATGTTGGCTGATCTGTAGAAGTATATAAGTATATCATATGCACTGTAGGAAAATAGACAGTTGAGTTGTGTATTTGGAAGTTCTTTGGACAGAGTTATTCACTGTAGGACTTTTTAAAACTCCGGGATACCTTCTGCTGTAACTATAGTATTTGTTAAATGTAATGCAGCATATTAATATTTGTATTTCAATTGCAGAATTTAGGTCCATAATTTTGTCAATATGATAATTGGACTTGATATTGTGATGTGGGTTAACTTTTGTAGATGTAATTGTCAGCACTACTTATCTCAATTAAGTTTTGATTTTAAAAAGAAACTGAAGATGGCGTTTATACATGTAATTTAAAATTTAAATTCAGCATAGCATTCATGTTGAAACTACTGGAAACAGTGGCTCTCCACCACTTTCACTGTTCTCATTCTTTATCCTTCATGGTTTCTGAGTACCATCACTTTGTTTGTGCTGCTTAATCCACTTGTTTTTAGGGTTATGTTAGCAAATTACACATTCGGGGAGTATTTTAACAAATTCACATTGTAGCTTGCTAAAATATTCCTAAAAGCAAGTGAGGATTCCACTTAATTTTAGGAGTATTTTAACAAGATATACTTTTGGGAGAATTGTCAACAAATTTGAAGTGATAACTTTTTAACATATTTATGAAAAACAAAAGGTATTATATTAACAAAAACCTATATTTATGCTGCTCACATGTCATTGGTGCAAAGCTTTACTGCTTCATATTTTTCTATAGTAAACTGTCTGAATGCTCATGCTTATTGATGGCAGTGTATGTTGGTGTGTTTATGAAATTATATTAGCATTGGCTTTTGAATGATTGACTGGATATGTGATATGAAGTTATCTCATTGAAAAATTGTGTGAAAAGTTACTCCGTTTGCTAACTTACTATACTTTCATACCAGCCTCTTCCCGCTGAAGAGGAAAAGGCACTGAAGGATACTCTTCAAGAAATCATTGGTTCGGGGGCAAAGGTTAATCTTGAACAGAAGGTATTAGTGTGGTATCTTCCCCCTCCCCCCCTCCTTCCGGTGTGTGTGCACATGTATTTGTGTGCCTTCTTGTTGACATTGTTAACTTTGGTTTTTCAGATTGATCCAAGCATACTTGGTGGTCTTGTGCTGGAATTTAGCCAGAAAGTCTTTGACATGTCTATTAAGACAAGGGCACAACAGATGGAGAGGATGCTTCGAGATCCCATAAATATTACCAATATCTAAAAGAGCAATTTTCTCCTGGCAATCTGTCATCAATGTTTAAAGGAAGAAGTATTACATTCTTGTTTATAAGTTGTGGGGATCTGGATTTTAATGGGATGGAATGCCATCATTTTGCAAATAAAAGCTACCTCTTTCCAACTTTTTGTTATGCTTCGTTGTCATTTTAATGCATCTGAATATATTTTTTGGGCCTTTTAAGGTCTTAACTACTGTTATCCATTGGTATTAGTTTGATCATTCCAAGGATTGCAGACTTCAAATTATATATGTTGCCCTTGTACCTTCTTAGGGGTTGCTTGTCATAATCTGGATGATTATATGTGAATGATGCTTCCTAATACAGACTAAGTAAAAGATGAAGCTGTATGTAGTCGTTGGATGGTTAACTATTAATTATTAGCATTAGATTCAACAGCCAATTTTTGCGATTATCTTGCAATATGTTTTTGGTTAACTCTTTTTAGGATTTATTTTACTGTTAGGAGTTTCTGTATTGAATTTACAATTTTAAATTTTTTAACGTGTTTTCAAATACATATTAAGTATGGTTGTAGTCTTGAATTTAGGATTTGATTTTTTCAAATGAGATAAATTAAGAAAATAATAATTTGTTTACCGTTAATTTAAATTGTGTTATAAAATACTTTATAAGGTATCTTTGCAATTTTTTTTTTTGTTTTTCTACTTTAGGCTGTTAAATCTTGAATTTTTTATTTGAATATTTTTAAACTCGGATCATATTGCATCCAGCATGTGATAAGTTTAAAGTGCTCTTTCCTGGGGAGGTTTGCTACTGATCCATAAAAATGATTCCAGTGCCAGTAGATTTTTATTTATTATTATTTTTTCAATTTCCTGCATTCTCTTTATGAGGATCTCCAGAATGTCCCCAATCATCTTTCTCAGGATTGTGTTTCTTGAAAATGGAAAAACACATGCAGATAATTTTGGTTTCGAGAAATTTATTGGATGAGGTACGTACAGTTTGATCTGATGTTCTCTTACAAGGAAGACAATTGACTTTTTAAAATTGTGGTTGGTAAATATGTTAACTTTCTGGGATAAATTTTGCATAAACGGTACTGGGGCGAAACGTGCATGATGTTTTATCACATGATCAGGCAATTGAGAGGTAAAGCGACAACATTGGGTCATAATTAGTTCATGAAATACAATCGTGTTACCTCAGCTCTCAGTTGAATCAAATCAGTTACTTTGCCAAAATGGAAGAGGTTTAAATGAGTTGTAGCTATGACTTGTTTGTTTCAGCATAAATGTATTTAGATTATACGTTTCTGCAGATTGCAATGAAATGAGTGCTACAGAGGATGCTCATGCAAATTATGATCCACCTCTATATAATTGAAATTCATGTAAATAACAAATACATTGCACAAGACAAAAAAGTTTGTGTAATCTTTCTTATAAAAAGCTATGGGGCATCACCAGAAAAAAAATAAAAAAAAAGGTCATTTAGTCCCTTGAGATTATAAATGCAGAAAAATTTAATTTCTTCATGTAGAGTTAAACAAATTAACTCTTCTAAAGTGAAGAAGTGTGTAAAGAGAAAAAGTGAATGTCTATTCATCCTTAATTTGAATTCAAGCATTTTGTATATATAATTAATTTTAAATTAATGGTGGATAGACTCTTTCAATTTTTTATTTTTTTACTTTAAAAGAATTAATTCCTTGAGTTAATGTTTTTAGAATTAATTTGAGTCAATAATAATAATTTTGTCGCAAATTAGATTGATACATTATTTGTTTTGAGTAAACCTTCACTTTAATCTCTTATATTTTAAATTTTATTCTTTAAAATTAACAATCGTCAACTACGTTAGTCTACGTCGTTAAAAGACATTAAAATTAAACAAGAAAATGATGATTTGTTATATTAGGTGACAGGTAGCAATGACACAAAACAACATTGTTTTAAAATATTTTAAATATATATCATTTTCGTCTTTGAATTTTAATATTTTTGGACAATAAGGTCTCCTCTTTGTCTTCTACTTTTTCTATGGAATTTTCTTTCTTCTTCTAACCAGTGGTATAATGATATTCACAATGTTCTTCCATCTTGAATTTTCTCACTTAAACTACTAGTGAAACTCTCGCAATCCCTTATAATGATTTTTCTATGGTTCAAAACCTCTTTGAGATTAACAAGGGATAAATTATCATAATTTATTTCTAACATATCAATGGAAATGCTAATTTTATTTTTCTTACAAAAGAGAAAAAATATATTATGAAAGAAAGAGAAGTAGAAGACAATGAGAAACCTTGTTGTCTAAAGATATTAAATTTTTTTGACAAAAATAATATATTTTTAAAAAATTCTAGAATGACATTGTTTTTGTGTCATTAGGATGTGTTATTTAATGTGACAAATCATCATTCTTACTTAATTTTAACGTTTTTTAACAACAAAACTAACATAATTTACTATTATTAATTTTAAAAACTAAAATTTAAAATTTAAGAGGCTAATTATAGATGAGTTAGTACCCGATTTGTTTTTTATTTTATATTTTACTATTATTCAGTGACTAAAGAAGTAATTGTTTCAAGTTTGAAATCTGGAGAAATTATTTAGTGACAGTTTTTCTTTTTTTTTTTTCAATGACCAAATTGAATAAAGTGAATTTTTTTTCAGGAATCAAATCGGGGTTTACTCTAAAGAAAATTACTTGGCAACTAGAGTATTTTAACTGGTACGGTTCATCCCGAAGAGAAGCCGAGTGGATACCATATATAAAGTCTTCAGCTTCTTACAGTGAAAGCTAATCTGGATGATGCTTGATACTTGAGGCTTGTTTGTTTGTAGAATTATGGGTTTATGCCTATGTAACTTTTCTTTCCACCTGAGTTTTGTTAAAAATTTCCTTGTTCGGAATAATTTTTGTTTGGTTGTAAACTAAAACAGGGAGGGAACTTAACATGTGGAATTGGATGACACAAGTTTAGTCATGAATCAATTTCTCTTTATGCACTTGTTTTATGTCCCCTCGATGATTATTTAATCCATAAATCTACAAAGATAGAGAGGAAGAAAAGACAGTTGGATATTGTATCTTGCCTTTTTTTCGTGTGTATTAAAATTGGTGAGCCTCAACCTTGTACTTCCGTGTTTCTTTCCGAGTATTCTCACTTTTTAGCTCATGATTTTTTGTTTTAAAGTACAACCACTTTTTGGTCTTGACATTCTAGTAACAGATTCTTAGTATGTTGTACAAGGTGTAACACATAATACCCAGATGAGTTGTTTTTTCTTGTCTTCGTAACAAAGCAGAATGTTGCTTGGGACACCCTCATAAGCATTAAGAGGATTTTAGTTTATTGGTTTTCCCCCCTTCTTTTCCCTCTTCTCCTGGACAGCTGTTGATCGGAAAAATGATGCTTTTGAAACATTGGAGTATATTGAGAGGTTTCTGCCTCACTTTTTCTCAGAAGATTGTGGAAGTCTCTATCAGAACAGAGATTTGGGAGAGTGAATAACTATATTGCCCTTGCAATATCTAGGAATTGACAGAGACTCCCACATGTGTATGTGATTTTGAATTGGACTGTGACTGATATTTTAGTTTCATGAAATTTTTTCTGTAAAATAATTGGCTTGTCTAAAGGGTAATTAGGTAATGGAAAGGGAATCACTCTGGGAGATAAACTTTTGACAGCTAGGAAGAAAAGGACGGCTTATAGAATGTGTCCATATTTTTATCCACAGACTTGAAAAATTTTATGACATGTGTCTTGCTAATTAGTTGAAGTTTCAGGTTGATATTTCTATTTGGTAAAAACAAGTTCAATTTACATTTTATTTGAAAGCTGTACCAGGAGATACTTTCTTGGAATTGTCCTGGCACGTTGTACAAAGCCAAAATGTTGTCACTGTTTTCTAATGCATATTAAGACTACTAACACATATAAAATTAGATTACTAGAAAAAAAATTAATTTGAATAAAATGATGGATACTGTATTAAAAAAGAAGTTCTGTAACAAAATAATAAGGAATATATGGGAAAAGAGGCATGGTAAGGTAGTTACTATGGATAAGAAATACACGTATAGTCCTTGAATGACAAGCAGAAGTCCTTGTCAAAGATGGAACATGAAGTAAAATAACCAAAATTTAACCATTCAATTAAGTTATCTTAACGTTGTATAGGAACTCCAGACCCATCATTTACCTTTCTTCTTTGGCCAAGTAGTAGACAAGAATAATCTTCTAATTGATATAATTAATCCCCATTCATAGTATCTTTAATGATGCAACGAACTTTTAACAAGAACTACTGATTTATAATAGTCTTCAAAGTACTGCAACTTAATTGCCATTGTCCTCATTGAGCAGTAACTTGTGCAGGTTAAAAGTGAAATTTTTTGTACTTAACAGCTCAAAGTCATGATAAAATCTTGTAAGTCATGTTTCATGTTTGACAAAATGAGAGCCATATTCTCCAATGGATGGCTATGATAAAATTATGACATGAAAAGAAAAAAAGGATATTGCTTTGTTGGGAGATGTTCATTGTTTGCTTCAGAAGTATGCCAATAAGTGGTTAGCCCCCCTAATGAAACTCATGCAAAGAATGTAAGTTACACACAACTATTAAAGAAATTGAAAATTAACATTTTGTCAAGCGTGCAACACTTTTCCCATTAAATTAAAATCACAATAGGTAGCACAGTCCTCTCTCTCTCTCTAGTCTCAACACACGTGAATTTGAAGTTTAAAGCCTATATTGAGAGAGAGAGAGAGAGAGAGAGAGAGAGAGAATTATATGAAGTGGAAGCAAAATTGTTTCTGTTGCATACAATAAAAGATGATGATTACCTTGTGAGTGAAGTAAAATGTATTGAAAAAGACAAGAATTGAGTCAAAGACAAGATGACCAACCATCCTTCTCTGTTTCTCTGATCACTCTCTCTTTCTTTGGGTTAAGGAGGTCCCCCTCCAATCCGTTTTCCACTCTACCTATCATCCAACAAACACAATCCCATTTCTTTCTCTCTCTAACACACACATATTCATATTTTAAGCAAACCCCACAACCATCAGTGTCATCATTATTTACCATTCCCACCCCATGAAGCCTTCTCTCTGTCTCTCAAAATCATCATTCACCTATATAGCTTTCTCATAGATCTCCATCACAACTCACTTAATAAAAGAAGAAATCAAAGGCCTCAAAGCCTTCACACATTTCATAGCTCTCATACCCCATCAACACTAGACTCTGTAGCTGGCTGGTAAATGAGGAAACCTGATCTCATGGCCAAAGACAAAATGAACAACAACAACAACAATAACAACAGCAACATTAAGAGCAAGCTAAGAAAAGGGTTGTGGTCACCTGAGGAAGATGAGAAACTCATAAGGTACATGATAACTAAGGGACAAGGTTGTTGGAGTGACATTGCTAGAAATGCTGGTCTTCAAAGGTGTGGTAAAAGTTGCCGCCTGCGTTGGATCAATTACTTGAGACCTGATCTCAAACGTGGTGCATTTTCACCCCAAGAGGAAGAACTCATCATTCATTTGCACTCCATTCTTGGCAATAGGTACCTTCTCTCTCTCCATTTTCACCCCCTTCCTTGCATTGCTATAGTTTCATCTTACAACATCCACTTCAACCTACTATTCAGTATTAATATAAGACTATATACTAAGATCAGCTCGAAAATTAAACTTTCCTAGAAAAACCAAAATGGGTAAACAAAAAAGGTGCAATGTCATTGAAGTTTAATTTAACTTGTAAAGGGTACGATAAGTCCTTTAGAACATTATTGTCAGAACCTTACATTTTGTTTTACGATGAATACTTCATTGATAGATATCCAAACGAAATGCTGAGTGTAAAATGTCTTGTAAAGGCAAAATATATTGACAGTTCTTATTTATCCCCTCAATTCTTTTAAATGATATATAGATCTTGATTTTCCAGCTACATGTTCATTTTACAATTTAATTAAAGTTATAGTTTATTTTAGTATTAAGTGAAAAAAAAAAATCGGATTGAACAATTCCGTGACCCCCCTTCTATAACACCTCATATTTAAGTTCTTAAAAATTTTTAGATATAAAGAATGATTCAGCAATTTCTTTATTGGGAAATTGAATTACATACACAAGGTTGAGATCAACTTGGATCATAACTACATAAAATGACGTAGCCTAAAAGTTTGTCACGGTTTTCGCCTTAGCTATCGTGGTCTAGCCTTCTACTTAAGGATTGCCTGACCCATATAATACATTGACTATTCACTAGTAATCTTTGAAAATCTCCGCTAACCCATCAATTATTAAATATTAGTGCCTTGTATTCATCAAGTTATCTAGTGTATCATTTAGACGTTAACAATACAATTTTTTTTATCACAATTTTTATTATTGATTGGAATTTGTTGAGACTCAAAATTATATAAATCTCCTTAATCCTTATTGAATACATTACTCCCATAATTTTATAAATTCTAATAAATTTTCACCACTATTAAACAATGTATTAAAATTATATTGACATATATTTATTTTGTACTATTTTCAATTGTAACATGTATATATATTTTGAAAAGTAATATGAGAAAATATTTATTATTATATAAAGTTGATTTATTATAAGAATTTATAAGAATTATTAAGTGATATAAGTGTTAGTGATCGGTTGTTATTGTCTTTTAGCTTTTTTTTTAATTTAATTTTTTATTTTATCTTTGTCTTTTTAACCATTTTCACTGTGTAAATTTCAGATGGTCTCAGATCGCAGCTCGTCTCCCGGGTCGCACAGATAATGAGATAAAGAATTTCTGGAACTCAACACTGAAGAAAAGATTGAAACTGAACAATAATTCCAATTCATCACCAAACAACAGTGACTCATCAGAACCTAGAGATGTCATGGGTGGGATGATGGCCATGAATGAGCATGATCTTATGACCATGTGCATGGACTCCTCTTCATCAACATCAACATCATCCATGCAATCCATGCATGCCATGGTCTTAGCTGACCAATTTGATCCCTTTCCCTTGTTGTCCAACCGTTATGACATGACCGGTGCAGCTGGGTTCCCTGACAACATGGCTGCATGCTTAACCCAAGTTGGTATGGTAGATGATGGGGTTCATGGGGATTATTGTGGGATATTGGAACCTAATAAAATGGGTTTAGAAAGTGACTTTTCCCTTCCTCCACTAGAAAGTAGAAGCATTGAGGACAATAGTAGTATCCCAATTGATGTGAAAAGCCATAACAACCACTTCAATAATAGTTGCTTCAATAACACTGATCATCAAATTCAGAGCTCCAACGACAATGTAGAGGACTTGTTTGGATTTGAAAATCATGGGCAAGGGGAAAACTTGAGAATGGGAGAATGGGACTTTGAGGGTTTGATGCAAGACATGTCATATTTTCCTTCCCTTGATTTCCAAGCTTGAACTTCAAATCTCCTCCTTTGGAATTCCCATTCTTCCACAGCACCCTCTCTCTCTCTCTCTCTCTCTCTCTCCTTCCAATCTTCTTTTTTTTCAAAATATAAACAAACATAAACATACCCTTTTGCTTGTTATATCTTTATCTTGTTGTTACTCGTTGTTTCTTCTTTTCTTGTTTTACAAAAATTGTAACCCAATTGTCAATTGTACTAGATTTAGTTCTGCAATGAAAATTGCAGCATACACGTGTATAGGGTGGGCCTGGGATATCATTTCTTGCGTCGTTTGTGGCCTGGTGGTTTCCTTGTGAAGTACTTCAATTTGTGTCATTTTTCGGGAATAGGTTGGTGCAATAATCGTCAAAGAGAAATGTGAATAGTCATAATTTTAGAAATGTCAAGAGCAAAATAAAGCTTAGTTGAAATTGTATGTAGCATTGTGTATAACACAAGGAATAATGTGGAGTTGCGAGTTGTTATTTAGTGCCAAGTAATATAGATTTAGTATACAACAAGATGTAAACACATCAATAAATATCAACTTTTAAATTCATTCGCTCCTCTTTCTCTCTCTTTGCCGCTGTGATTATTCTCCTAGCATTTGCTAGAAAGAGGGAATTGTAAATTAAGGAAAATTCATGTTAAATTTGAAAACCAAATTATGTTGTTGACACATCTAAGTTATCCTGTCAATTTATATTTTTGTCATATCTCTAAATTTCACCTGTGTCACCTCGTTAATTTTCTTCTCATTTTTTAAATTTAGTTTATTTTACTGTATATTTCATTAAACTGACGTCACACATGTATAGTCACATTATTCGTAAAATTGTACTCTTTATTTATTACTACCTCTAATCCAACACAAGGGATCCCTTTACCAATTTTACAAAATTTAAAGAATTTAATTTGTGGTATTACATTTATCTATAATTTATATATTATAATTACCTTTAAAATTATTGTCTTCATTATTTTAATTTTCGTCGAATTAATTATATAACGTATCTCCATGCTAGTAATGATTTTTCGTTTTCCATGTGAAGAGGCAAAATAAATGAGCGAGATCCTCGTGAGAAAGATAGAGTTGAAGAATTTAATTTAATGCATTTACTATTTATTGATTAGAAAAATATATCGAGTAATTAATAATACTTTTATAAAACGAAATAGAAATAGTTACTATAGGCAAACGTCATCAAACGCGAAATACTTTGTTACAGTGGTTATGATCTTCGGAAGCAATCTTTTTATTTGCAAAAGCATATATTAAATTTTCATTCGTATAAAATGACATGAAAAATATTGACGGCTAAACTATTAATAATTTTGATATTTTAATAAATAATGTTATAGGTTTCTATTAATCCTCCCAATGTTTTATAAAGTAAGTGTTATTTGAACGGTCACATAGCCAGAGTAAAATAATCATACTGATGACTAGGGGTGTCCATTGGATCGGGTAAACCAATAAACCCGATAATCCAAACCGATCCAAACTAAAAAAAATCCAAACCAATGCTTAACGGGTCCGATCCGAACCAAACCGATCAAACCCGACGTGGTTTGGTTTGGATAACGGGTATTACTATATCAACCCGATAACCCGTGTTTATACCCGATGAACCCGAGCAAATTCACTTTGAAGAGCGGTTCAATTTCAACTGCTCTCAGAAGTGACCTTTGGAGAGCGGTTCAATTTCAACCGCTCTCAGAAGTGACCTTTGGAGAGGGGTTCAATCCGAACCGCTCTCAGAAGTGACATTTGGAGAGCGGTTCCAATATAACCGCTCTCCGAAGTGACCTTTGAAGAGCGGTTACATTGGAACCGCTCTGCAAACGTTGCACCCCTTAACCTAGTTACGCACTTACGCCGCTGGTGAGGACAACCGCCATTAACCTGTTTTGTTGTTCCGCTACAGCTCAACTTGGATTTCTCTCGCTTCCGCATCTCAAATCTAAATCAAAGTGAGTATATGTCTAATTTTTTCTCTACTTTTTCTATTTTTAATTTTTACTCTGCTCTAAAATCTGTTTATGCTTATGATTTTGCAGCCCACAAATGGCAAATAACAGTGAAACTGCTGAGAATACCCCAACAAGCTCAAGTGGCATGGAACTACAGCAAGGTGGTGTAGACACTCCATTGCTGCAAGAGACTCCTACGCAAGGACTAGAGACTCCTACACAGGGACAAGAGACTCCTACGCAAACTCAAGGACTCAAGGTATTAAAAAGAAAACCTAGTCGACCGCCATCCAATGCTTGGGAACATTTCACTAGACAAAATGATAAGGCTATTTGTAACTATTGCCAAAAGTTATATGCATCTAATAGTTCTACCCATGGAACCACAAACTTGAATAAGCATGTTTTGTGTTGTCCGAAAAACCCAAATAGGATAGTTAATAAGAGACAAAAAACACTTGCACTTGGAAAGGAGAGTGAGGATGCCTCTACTGTTAGTTTTAAACTTGTTGATTTTAATCAAGATCGAACCCGGGCAGCACTTGTTAGGATGATAATTATGGATGAGCAACCTTTTAAGTTTGTTGAGGGTCTCGGATTTAGAAAATTTATGCTTGAGGCTCAACCGAGATTCAAAATTCCTTCTCGACAAACTATTGCTAGAGAGTGCATGCTACTGTTTGAATCAGAAAAGGAGAAGTTGAAAGCTATATTGTCTAAAAATGATCAAATGGTTTCACTTACGACTGATTGTTGGACTTCAATTCAAAACATGAATTATATTTGTGTGACTGCTCATTATATTGATGCTGGGTGGGAATTGAATAAAAGGATATTAAGCTTTGGGTTGATTACTGACCACAAAGGTGACACCATAGGTAAATACCTAGAGAAATGCTTGAAAGATTGGGGGATTTCAAAGATTTGTTGTATAACTGTTGATAATGCAAGTGCTAACAACTTGGCTATTTCATATTTAATTAGGGGCATGAGTGATTGGAATGGTAGAACTTTATTAAATGGAGAGTACATGCATATGAGATGTTGTGCCCATATTTTGAACTTAATTGTTGGTGATGGTTTGAAGGAAATTGATATCTCAATTGCTAGAATTAGAGCTGCATGTAAGTTTGTTAAGGGATCTCCGCTTAGATTGGCCACTTTTAAAAGGTGTGCTCAGGAGGCAAATATACCTAGTCAAGCATTGTTAATTGTTGATTGTCCCACTAGGTGGAACTCCACTTATTTAATGTTAGAAGTTGCTGAAAAATATGAGAAAGCATTTAGTCGTCTTGAGTATGATGATCCTGCCTATTTAATAAATCTTGAGAGTGAAGGGGGGTGTCCTAATAGCGATGATTGGACTCGTGCACGCATGTTTGTGAAGTTTCTGAAAATTTTCTTTGATGCAACTCTTTCCTTTTCTGGATCATTGCATGTTACATCTAATACTTTCTTCCATAAGTTGAAAGATATTAAAAAAACATTGAATAAGTGGAGGCAAAGTAATGATATTGTATTACAAAGGATGAAAAAAAATATGCAAGTCAAGTTTAGCAGATATTGGGAGAATGACACTATAAATTATCTCCTATTTGTGGCTGTTTTCCTTGATCCTCGCTATAAGCTTGAGTACCTTGAGTTTTGTTTTAAGCAGATGTATGGTGTAGAAAAATGCAATGAATTGATGAAAAAGTTGAAGGACCTCATCAATAAATTGGTTGAACTTTATATGACACAGTATCCTATTGATGAATCTAGTAGTGTTGCCTCTCAGTCTAATCTTGATATTAGCAATGATGGTAATGATGATGATGATGCATGGGTGGATGAATTTAGAATGAATGTGAAAAAAAAGCAAGGTCAAGTGAAAAGAAATGAGATAGAAAGGTACTTGGAGGATGATGTTGAAGACAATGCTCCCGGATTTGATATTTTGCAATGGTGGAAATCAAAGTCCTCAACGAAATATTATATTCTTTCTCATATGTCTAGAGATATATTGGCTATTCCAGTGTCCACTGTATCCTCTGAGTCAACATTTAGCACAGGAGGTCGAGTTCTTGACCCATTTCGTAGTTGTTTAAGTCCCACAACTGTTGAAGCTTTAATTTGTACCCAAAATTGGATAAAAGCTAGCAAGAAGGTTGATTTACAGGTTGAAATGGATCAACTTACGATGCTTGGAGAAGGTATTGAACTTGTTAATTTTTTAATCTATATCTTCAAAGTTCTATATTTATTTCATTTTGAACTAATTTTTTTCCCCTTTTTATGTTTCTGTTTGAATTATTTTGGCTTCAGAGATGGCTGAGGCTGAAGCATTTACAAATGTTCAAGTTCAACCCAATATATCCACTTCTTAAATTTAATTTTTCTTTTTGATTGAGACTTATTTTGAATTTATATATTTGTATTAGAATGTTGTGTAATTGTGTTAAATTTATGTGTAAAAAATTATTCAAATGAAAAATATTGATATTTTCTATTTTTTTATACATATTTTATTTTAGTTTATTTAATCGGACAACCCGATGATCCAAACCGAACCAACCCGTTCGTGTTTGGTTGGGTTTGGTTCGGATTTTCAATTTTTTTTTACAAATCCAAACCAAACCAAACCAATCAATTTTTGATCGGTTCGGATTTTTTTTTCTCCTAAACCTGAACCAAACCGACCCGTGGACACCCTTATTGATGACTAAGTGGTCATTTAAAATAATCACTTAGAGTAAACTTATTTTCTTGTATATATTTTATTTATACCAAGAGTAGGTTATATGGAATGATATGAATAACACATTTCCTTTAGTAAGTATATGTTCTTACCACCATGATCTGATTATTCTAGCAATCTTATGCACCCACCCGTTTAGGGTGGTACCGTATTTGATTGTGATAGTTGTTTCTCCCTCAATCAAGGGAAACCATTGATTCATAATATACAGAGGTTGGGCCAAACGTTATAATAGCTCATGGAATTGAGCTTAGTCTAAACTGGATAATTTTTTGGTATATTGAGTAAAATAAAAGAGG